CATCAAAGAGTTTTATAGAAAGCCATAATAAAGATGATTATTTACTTAAAAACATTCAAAGGAAATTTTTTCTCTGTGTTCTCTTACTCCAATTTGTGTTGCATGCTGGTTAAAGTTTAATAAAATAATGAATATAGCATTTCTTTGAGGAAAACATTTTATTGGTCACTTTTAAAAAGCTTTACCTACTTACTAGGCTTAAGGATAAGCAGGTATAATATTTATTTATGTAGAAAAATTTAAATAGTTTAGAGACAATTGTGGTTCCACTTAAATTTTTTTATTTTTTTTAAACCTGGTAATCAAATTATTATTTTTTTTTACAATTTCCTATATGTATGCTTTGCGTATCAACTATTCCCACTTCTTTACTACTCCTGTCTACCACTCTCCCCTCCCCACAAATCTCTCTCACATTCAAGTCTGTTTCTTCTGTTTGTGACCCATCAAGATTAACCAATATGCTCTGTTGAGACCTTGGGTTTTGACCTATTTATTGGAGCCTGATGGGCTCAGCAGAGGTCACGCAATTAAAGGCAGTGAGTCCTCTCTCTCAGATCTATGCATAGTCGAAAGTTCAGAAGTAATGGGTAGACCCTGTGATCTTCTCCTTCTTCCTTGACTAACTGCTGACAGGCCAGTCTTAGAACAGAAAGCTTCTCAGTACCTTTTCCTTTGGTTTCAAACCCCAAATCATTACTCAGAAAAGGACAAACTATACTTTATAAATCTTTGGATAATTTGTGCTGGAGTTAACTTTTCCTATGCTCCAGATGAAAGATTTATATTTCATAGTGTGATGAAAATAATCCAAGGTAGATAGAAATATCAATTTTTCTAATCATGGAAGGTACTATTCCTCATTATTGAAGGTAGTATTCCTAATTATAGAATGAAGTGTTCTGAATTATGGAATATGGTATTCATAATAATTAGAAAAGGCACCATTCCTAATTATGGAAGCACTATTTCTAATTATGAAAAGTACTATTCCTCATTAGATTATAACTATGTGGAACTGCCTCCATGGACATGCTTTAAATTGTCATCTCGTACTGTTTTCCTTACCATGACTGAAATGAAATCTTCCTGGGTATTAGCCCAGAAATACTCTCCAAATGAACCTAGGGAAACTGTTCTGTGTGTAACCATCCACTGGAGCCTGGTTAACGGATCTGGCACTACACCCTTAAAGAAAACCAACTCCCCTCTCCCAGTAGTTATTGGTCAACAATAGTTCCTCAGCTAATGTTGGGGCATCTTTCTCACTTTCCCAACTTTAATGCTGGTATTTTCTCTGGCTTGACCTTACACAGGTCTTCTGTATACTGTTACTATTGCTGTAAGATCGTATGAGTAACTGCCCAGCTCTTTGGAAAGCCTTTCCCTTGTGGTTATCTACCACCTCTCACTTAAAATATTTCTGCCCTCTTTTCTACAAGGATTCCTGAGCTTTGGATGGCAGGGGCTTACTATAAGAGTCCCATCTAGGGACACACACTCTGCACTTTCTTATTCTCTACATTTTGGCCAGTTGTGACATTCTGTGTTAATCACCACCTGTTGCATGAGGAAGCTTTTCTGGTGAGGGTTGAGAAATGCATTAATATTCTCTCTGTCCCCTGTTATGCTGTGTTCCCTGAGCCTTAGGTGTAGAGGTTGCACTGTAGATGTGTCACTTTGGGCTGGTCATCCATACACACTTATTCTCTGTGTTTGACTAGTTGTGGGACTTTGAAATTGTCTCCACTTGTTCCAAAAGAAGCTTCTTTGACAAGTTATGAGACTTACACTTTTCTATAAATATAAGGATATGTATTAGAAAGCAGTAAGAAATTACACTGGTCTGTGGATGTAAGGAAAATAAGATTTTCTCTAGGATCTATCTGTCTAGCCATGTGTATTTGGCTGTGGTTACAGTACCACACATGGTTTCCCTCCCATTAAATAGGCTTTAAGACCAATTAGGCTGCTATTGATTACCCCCAAGATAAAAGTGCCACTACTGCATCAGTAGACATTATTTGCTGGGTTGATCATTGTTGTGGTTCATAGACTTTACAGCTAGATGGGTTCATTGATTGGCTTTCTCCCTTGGCAGCTTGTAGTGTCTTCTGATACTATGGGAGCTAGTCTTCTGATATTTGAGGACATAAACTTGACTCTCTATCACAAAGTACGTGAAACCTGGCAGGGTAGTAGTACTCTAAGAGGGGTGGAGGTAGAGAGGGGGTCTAAATGTGATCATAATATATTGTATGAAATTCACAAAAATCCAATAAAAAATGGAAAAATAAAACCCTAAAAACTGTTGCTTCTTTTTGCCTTTGATGACAGGAATCTTAAATTTTACTTAAGTTTCATCTGACTCATAACCAGTGATAAAATGCATGTAGATACTCATCTCTAAATGTTCTTTTGATATGTTTTAAATTTCAAATTTAGTAAAAGATTTAAAATGTAAAGTGTTAAAAATAATCTTCAGAACTCTAAGTATAAATCCTAAATAGAGCCTAGATGTAGGACATGCTTGTTGGCTTTCCTGCAATGCTCTCATATAGGAGTTTGGGAAAATCAAACAGCAACATTTCATCATAACTTTTTATCCTATATGCATGTGTTGGCAGTTAAATTACATAATAGAAATTGAAAATATTTTCAAGAAGTCTCTTTTGTTACTATTTCAGTATTTAATGTGACACTGCATGTTTAAAAACATTTTAGTTTATTTTCATTTTGAATAATAAATTTGCAGTAAAAAAGAGACATATAGACTAATATCAACAAATCACAAAATCATTTTGCACAAAGCAAAGGTGCAAACTTCATGCACCATTCTCACCAAAAAATTAAATATGTTTTAAGGATATTTTTGTGATTATAAATATTCAATAAAAAATTAAGAAGGTCATGTCCCAAATTCCTTTACAATTTTTGTTCAGGGGTAAGAATTGTGATGATTGTGCAAGTTCAAATGGTCTTTGGGTTTCCTTTTTTAAATTTCCAAGCTTTTACAATTTTTATTTTAAGCTAATTTGCTATTAAAGTACTAAGCATTAATAGTTTTAATTGTATCTCCAGCTTTGATGATGCCTTTAATGTTCTAGGTGGATTCTGAGTTTTGCTGACACAATGATAGGAATACTGAGTAACAGGAAATGATCATTTACCAAATTAAAAAAAAATCTCCTTCTGCTATAAAATATTTCATTTTATATGGTTGCCTCTTGTTCTCCTGTTGACCTTCCCCAGCCCTTAAGAAATCATGGAAATTTTAAGATAACAATACAATAACTGCAGGTTGAAACAAAACGAAGTTGGAAGAAATTCAGTTTGGCAAATGGACATGCTGTTTCTGTATTTATGTCTTTCAACTTTAACACCCACAATTTATTAAGTGAGATTCTGTACCAGAGCGGAAGCTGCGAATCCTGTTTGGACACCTTGAGGAAGGAAGCCGGGACTTTATGGGGCACCACCTTCCTCTCAGTCACTGACCAGGAAAGCCATCTCTCTGTATAAAAGCTATTCATTCTGAGAGGTGGGGTGCTTTGGGAAGGAAGATGACCTCTCCCTAGTAAAGTGGAGTTGCTGCCCCCCCACCCCCATGACTTATTCAACTCATTTCCACCACTGTTTATAAGAACACTTGTGTGAATGATTGTAGTGACAGCAATAGTCATTTAAAATATGGCTCAAATTCCATGCCTTCCACTTTCCTAAGTTATTTGTATTATCCAGCATTACAATCACAAATAAAATGTTTGTGCTGAGGCCCTTTTAGAGTTGAGTGCTTGCTTCATGAAAGCCAGAAGTTTAATCAATACATACACCCCTGCTCTGTGTACTAAAAGCATGGCTGATATCAACTCTGAAGAGTAAATGAGTAATTCTAGTTAAATAGCATGCTTTTCACGGGAGTCAAAGACTTTCTGAAGTGGAATGGGAGATACTTTGCTTAGATGTCTTGTGTGCTGGGGTCTGTAGGCAGCATACTAAGTGGAACAGCTATGCCATGCTGGGTGAAGGAGGAGGTCAGAGGGACTTAGTTATATTTAGGATTTGCAGGTACTTCATATATTTTAAAAGATTTTGGTTTTTGACCTCAACTTCAGCTAGGTTTTTTATTTAATTAATTTGCATTGTTTGGGGGTTAGTGAATACTGATGGCTACAAAATTCAGTTCCTTTTGTACACTTTCTTAAGATACTTTAATGCTCTTCTTTGGGAGTGTTTTTTATAATTTAGAAAAATTGTGAAGGAAAAGAATTCTGATATCTTTCAGCTAGTTTCTTCCCATGTTAGCACCTTCCATTGCCATGGCACATTTGTTGGCACTGAAAGCTACATAACTATCCTACATTGCAAATAAGTAAACTTCACCTGATTTCATTAGCTCTTTCAGGATTACTATATTTTGTAATCTAGGATACATTTCACAGTACCATATAGCATTTTGCCATCATATCTCCTTAGTCTCTTCTGATGGAGACATTTTCCTACTGTGTCTTTTTTTCCCCCAGAACCTTGAAAGTCTTCAGGGAATATTGACTAGGAAGTTTGAGGAGTATTCACTTTTGAGTACACCGAGAAGTTTGACTTCCAGGAATTTGGAAGCAAAAACTCCATATAGTCCCATCATTTTTTGCACCATTTTTTTTATCAACACACAAGTTTGAATTAATAAATGTTACTTTATCTTCCTATAAGTTATGATTGAACTCTAGATTTAAAAGTTGATTTATGGTGTATTTAATATTGTTTAATATTTGTTTCATGGATAATCATGTAGTAGTGAGAGACAGATCTATAAACTAATACAAATAAATTATCAAATCCTCTTTTCAGTCACAAAATAAAGTTGTAAAATACAAAAGTTTTTACAAAAGCATAAAATAATTAAATACATCATCAACTTTGGCAGTGTTAGGCTTAGCTAGTCCATTTAAAACACGTAGAACATTGGCAAAAATATGTACTTTATCTTTTGCTCCTAACAGATTAGAGATGGACAACCAAATTGTTATGTATTGAAGAATAAAGACTTAGAACAAGCTTTTAAAGGAGTTATTTACCTAGAGCTGGACCTCATATACAATCCGGTAAGTGTCCTTGGGAGGCACCTGCTTTCTTTTCAACACCTAAAACAAATGGTGTTCAGTCTGTGGAGACTCAAATTAATATAAAAGTTTTCAGGGTTGGAACTGTAGAGTATGGGAAAAGTAATTTAAAATATTTTTATTTTATTTTATGAGTATTAATGTATTGCCTGCATGTATATAAGTGAACCTATGTCTTGCAGTAGCCGCTGAGGTCAGAAAAGGGTGTCAGATTACCCTGGAACTGGTGTTACAGACAGTTGTTAGCTGCCATGTGGGTATGGGGAATTGAACCCAGGTCCTCTGCAAGAGCAGCCAGTGCTCTTAACTGCTGAGCCATCTCTCCAGCCCACATAGCAGTGATTAAACCTGAGTTATAAAATCTATGCTGAATATCCCAGGCTTCAAGTGGATAAGCCAGCAGAATTGATGGGGTTGAATTTATCTAAATGTGAAGAGAAAAAAAATTAAAAATAAAGGAAAAAGTATTGTCTATAGATTGCATGAATACATAATATATAAATATAACCAATACATTATAAAAGCAGAAATTATATTCTATACAATTTATACAGTAAATACAATCTATAGTATAAGATAATATCTATATAATCTGATATGCAAGTTATGTAGTCTCTAGTGCAGAATATAGTCATAGGAATTATATCTGTAGATTCTCAAATTCTGAGTAGTGCTAGACATCTGGGTACAGCCATGGATCTCAGAAGTATTTTCTGCATTTTCTTCCTTTGCCCTTCAAATAAATCCTCCGAAGTTTGCGGGAGAAAGGGCAGCCCCCATCTTCTGCTTTCTTCTGGCAAGTACTTGTATAGAGGTCACACAGGACTATTCTACTCCAGTAAAATCTGAGTTCAAAGGAAAAGAGCACAGTCTTAATTTAAAAGATGTTGATTAAGGATTTTTCTTTCAGTCATCATCCTGATCCAGTGGAGATGAATGTGTGTTTCATTTTTTGAGATTTTTCCCTCTGGTTGTTTGAACAAGTCAATAAATTCCTCTGGGAATCAGTTTATTCTCTGGAAAATGGCTTAGCCACCCTTTTTTTCCAAGTTGTAGAAAAATAATAGATTCTATGTGGAAATTTTAACTGATAACATCTACCAAAATGATGAAAAAAATTTGATCATTTTGATTAGCATGAGAATGTATTTATCTCTGTCCCTGTTTAAGAGGCCTCTGTAGAATTAGCCGAGTGCGGGTAAGACTGTCCCAGGCCCAGCCTTACTTACTCAGGGGCTCTCTTACTCATGGGGCCCCTCCCATGACCTATGAGTCAGAAGGACTCAGCTTCTATGGTCTCTCTAGCTACTGAGGAGGAGGATGGTGACAACTGTGCTTTTCTAGGTCAAAGCAAGTATCAGGACCTTTAGTCCCAGAGAAAAGCGCTTTGTGGAAGATAGTCGCAAACTGTCCAAAAAGGTAAGTGGCACCCATCAGCTGGCCTTGTGAGTATATTCAGCAACAGAACCCAAGTCCTTTTGGCCATGATTGACTTCTTCCTCACTTCTCTCCTCTTCCACACATTTCCCTTCTGGACTCCCCATATTTCCATTTGCTTCTCATGTCTTCCCTCTCAAAACGGGGCTTCAGGCCGGTCAGTGACAGAGACTGAAAACATATCCCTGGGATGAAGGAGAGAGTGTGAGCCAGCAGTATGCCAAGCCATTCTCTAAACACCTGGTATGGGCCAGAGATCCTGCATTTTTTGGACTTCCCATCTTCATCTGCAATGTATTGCTCTCTACCCTTCAAAATAGGCAGGTGCCCTGCCTGCTGAGGGAGTTTGCCCAGGAGGGGTTTTGAGGAGGCTCTGGCCTCAGAGTCATCTATGGCTGCTTTTACCAATTGTGCATTATCTAAATTTGAGCTAAGTTGGCATTTTATTCCATATTGAATCAGCTATCTTTCCTTTTGCCCATCATCCTGAATTCCTCTCTCATCAGTTCAACAAGTAGAGATCTGGGAAGGGGAATCTTCACATTTTTTAGAAATATCATGACCTTGATGTTTTTTGTTTCTGAGTCCCTCCCTGTTCTCTTTAGGTACCAGGATTTCAGTCAGTACCCTTGCTGCTCCTCAGTTGTGTAACAAAGAACAAAGTGTCCACCTTTCAAAGTGTTTATTACTTCCAGTGCTTCCTCTGGTGAACAGCTGTGTATGACACAAAGCAGTTAAATATAAAGGCATCTTATCTTCCTCTTGTTTCCTGTGAACTTCTGGGCTCTGGGGAAGGGACTTAGTAGTCTTTTAAAGGAAAATATCCAAATGTTTTATTTCAGTCTGCCAGAACATTGAGCATAATATTCATAATGAGAAGTTGTCTTCATTATTATTATTATTGCCTTTTGCTCAATTTTCTTGAAAGTTAAAACCTAAGACAAGGTAGATAGGGCAGCAGCTTTGCACATAAATCAAAATAATGTGACTCCCACTAGAAGAAGAGGCATTTCCTTTGCAAAACAGCTTGTCCATTAGGGTGACTTTGGGCTCTGAGAACAGAAAAATAATTTGGGGCCGAAATCCCAGGGTACATCAAGACCCTGCCCATATGCCCCTCATCACTTGGTCTTCCCAAATGTTCACAAAGTGAAATTTTTATTTAGGAGGCAAATACTTAAAAACACTATATTACAGATATTTTCTAAAGTCTTTAATTCTCAACAACTACTTGTAAAGTGAAAACTAATACCAAACCTATTTTGTGAGAAAAGTTGATAAATATTCCCAAGATTACACAGCTAGGAAGTGGGAGAAAGCAGGACGTGGGACAGAGAAGCCGAAAACCCTCCCAGAAATGCACTTCTTTATTCGTTGTGACATGCTTTGGAAATAGATGAGCCATAAGAATTGTATATTCTACTGTTAATCTATCCAGCTGCTTCACTCTAAATATTACCTACTCTCATTCTCATTCTTTCTTAATTTTCTTCTTTCTTGCTCTACCTATTTATTTCTCCTTACACACACACACACACACACACACACACACACACACACACACACACACACACACCTGTATATATTTCTATTCCCCTCTGTGCACACACACTCATGTGCAGGCCAAAATCAATCTCTTTCTCTCTCTCTCTCTCTCTCTCTCTCTCTCTCTCTCTCGAGATTGAATCTAGAGTGCACACACACACACACACACACACACGCTTGCCCACACCATGTGCTCATACCTACGTCCTGGCCCACACCAAATAGCTGGTTGCTATAGCTGTCACCGGCTGAGTTTTGTACTGTACAGTGTTGAAACAGGCTATTTTTCACCAAATGAGCTATAACATACATTGTTCTCTGTGAATGACAATATTTTGATGCAGTTTTAGAAGTATCAGAACTTTTTCTTTTTGTTACTTTTATTCATTTGTGTTTCATTATTTTTTTAATTGGCTCTACATAATGTAAAGAAACAATTAGGCCAGCTGATCAAAAGAGAAAATTTAGAGCATGTAAATCTAGTTCCTTGTTTTCCATTATGTTTTATCAGATCTTATCAAGAGATGTAGACCGGGTGAAAAGACTCACTGTGGCAATATGGAGCACAGTACAGTTTCTGAAAAGCTGCTTCCAATGGGAGTCCACGTTAAGAAGTACAATAGCATTTGTGGTAAGTTTGTTTTTAAACGATCCAATTATTTTTTGTATTCATTCATTTTTTAAAACTATATTATGACATAGTGGTTTATGTAGGAGTTGTATTTTAAGACTGTTCTGAGGTAAAATTTATTGATGAAAATCCTTTAAATTATTCAAGTCCTATTCATCTATCATTTCTTGGTGAGCTTAAAAGAACCAGTGTTCTATGGATCTTCTTTATTTGCTGTAACATGTATTATGTCTCTGCAACTGTTATTGTGGCATATTTATATAGTCTTTTCACTGTATTTATCTTACTCTATGCCACTGGCTGTTTGTAGTACTTCAGATGTGGCAGATGGAAATAACATGACTAAATTATAACTCAGTAGCTCTGATTTAGTTTTTCAGTAAATCATTCACAAAACTTAATATTAAAAATATCAATCCATATCAAACCACTTGGGACGCTGATCACTGCACATTACAACTGGACTCAACACCATTATGGAGAATTACTTGTATATATGAGATACACTCGTTTTCTCATAACACTGGCCCATTCTCATGAGCATAATAAAACCATAAAATCAAAGAGGTGCAAGAGACCCTAACACCATCTCAGGCTATCACGAAGAATCTTGGAAGGACTTCCCAGTTGGCCCCATAGCCTTGCTTGGCATCTGTGAGAATTATCTCTCATTTGCAAATGAACTTATTTGGGTTCAGATTGGTAATATCAGCTATTAGGGGATAGAGAAGATTCTTCATGGTAAGTCTTCTATACCTGGTATTATATGGTGAATTTCTGTACATTTAAGAGACAGAGGAATACATAATATGCCATGTTATGTCATGATCCACGTAAGTCCAGTGTCTGCATTTGTTTCTTCCATCTCCTGTTTTCTGCATATCTCAGTGTTCTGTTCTACCCTGCAGGTTCAGCCTATATATATATATATATATACACACACATATATATGAAACCTCAAGTTGATTTCTAAATAACATTAGACATAACTGATATATTATATATATATATGTATATAATTAAGCTCAAGATTTTAGTGGCTTCATAAAGGCTGTAGACTTCATAAAAGCTCAAGATTATGTATGTGTGTGTGTATATATATATATATATATATAGTGTGTGTGTGCATAATATATATGTGTGTGTGCATATGTGTGTGTATAACCTCAAGTTGATATCTAAATACCATTAGACAACTGATATGTACATATATATGAATATAATTGAGCTCAAGGTTTTTAGTGGCTTCATAAAGGCTTAGATTTCAGGCTCTTTGCCATCAATTATGCAACCAATTATGTCATCTCCATAAAAGCCTTTTTCTTTGCCAATGGGTAGTATTTGCTTGGTCTTATTTATTTTCATTTTGCATCATTTCAGAACATCCATGTCTCTCATGATCCTGGCAACTTTTTGGCCACCTCCCTTTCTCACACCCTCCTCAGCTGGTGGCTTCACATGCTAGGCTCCTCTTCGACCTCCCCAGCCCCACTTCCTACCTGAATTCCCTTTCAAAACTTTCCATGGAATGTTGTGTGCAATTCTGGGCCACAGAGGAAAGTGAACACAATCAGTGGCTTCTTCCAGTCAGCCCTGAGGCCAGCTGCCACGAGGAGCAGAGGATTTCCTCTTTCTCCACTTGAGTTCTGGCACTGTGACTTTAGAAAAACAGATCTGTTGCCCTGGATTCTGTAGGCGGAATGACAGAAATGATTAATGGGCTGCTGGCCTGATCTGAAGAAAGATTAGAACAAATGAATGGAGACAGGTTGTCCAGCAAAGAGGACTTCTAGACTGAAAAGGAGCCTTGGCAAGTGGCCTCCTCCTCCACTGCCTTTTCCTTGGGTGAGCCTCCCTTCTGGGCATCATCTCACAGAAAAGTCCTTGCCAGGCTGGCAGACACACAGGCTTTGGCATCTTTCTTTCTGGTGCCAAAGGCCCACAGACAGAATTGGTAACAGTGCTGCCCTCTCCTCCCTGGTTTACCGAAGCCTGATTTGCAAATCTACAGGCTTATGAGAATGCTGCAGGCGCCGCTGTTTGTGTGTATTTCCTTTGATATATCCCAGGGAGAAAATCAGGCTTAGTCACAAACACTGTACAGTCAATCCGCCGTATCCATGAATTCAACCAACTACTACTGAAAATATTTTTTAAAATTCCATCTGTATTAAAGCTGTACAGGTGTTTTCTTGTCCTTACTACCCATACAAAAATAGAAGAACTATTTACACTTAATTTACATTGCATCATATACCATAAATAATCTAAAGATATTTTAAAGTATGTGGGAACATACAAATAAGTTATATCTAAGATGGGGCTGGAGAGATGACTCAGTGGTTTCGAGTACTGGCTGCTCTTGCAGGGGACCCAGGTTTGGTTCCCAGCACCCACATGGCAGCTAACAACCATCCATAACTCCAGTTCCAGAGGATCCACCACCCTCTTCTGTGGGTATTGCATGACATGTATGCACTTACATACATGCAGGCAATATACTCATACACATAAAATTAAAATAATAAAATATTTCATTTTTTTATAAAAAGGTTATATACAAGATGATGATGTTGAATGTAAGGGACTTGAGCACCTGTAGATTTTGATATCTGGGGTGAATCTTAGAACCAGTCTCACATGGATAATGAGAGATAACTGTAAGCATACACTTTATTACTTGGTTGCCCTGAAGCTTCTACACTGAGAAGCACTCAGACACGTTTTACTTTTAATTTGAAACTCTATGTGCTAATGCTTATCGTAACATATGCATTTTGCCTAATCATATGCTGAGACACTGCAAGGCAGATAGTTCCTCCCCCAAAGTTGATGACATGTGATTTTATCAGACTCTTTCTGACACTGTGTACTATCATAATTGCTCCCAAACCATTTTCGCGAAATGAAGTAAGGGGATATAGATGGGCATGGTGGTGCACTCCTTAGGCAGAGGCAGGCAGATGTCTGTGATATAGAGCCCAGCCTGGTCTACTTAGCGAGTTCCAGGCAAGCTGGGGCTATAGGGAGATGCTGTCTCAAAAACAAAACAAAACAAACAAACAAAAAAACCCAAAAATAATATGGAGGAAATGCTTTTAAAGGACAAAATTATGTGCACATGTTTGTGTCTGTGTGCGCATTTCTTCCTTTTCTGTTTTTTTTTTTTTAATGTTTTTGTTTGGCTTCTTTTTGTTGTTGTTGTTGTTTTTTTTGATGGAAACACATTACAGTCATAGACCATTTTGTGGACTTGCCAGTTTTCCATAGAGTTCTGTTGGAGCTATGTACTTTGGAGCTGTCCATGAATATGGTGTTATCTCCCCGAGGGTGTGGTGTTGTATCCCTGAGAGTATGGTGCCAGATCCTTGATTGTGAAGAGCTCGAATGTGGATTGTCTTTCAACAGAGTTTTAGATTCTCAACTAACCTGGGCTATGGAAAGACAGGGAGGCTAACACAAGGAAGCCCAGCATCCTCTCTGCCTGACCTTCCTTATAAGCATGCCATGTGTGTCAACAGTGGTGTATACCACCTGACCTCCTGTGCTCTGCTCAGGACAGAGAGGTGCTGACAGCTTTTATTGATCAACCTGATACTCCATTCATTTTCCACCTGTTCACTTTTGCATTGTGGAGTAGAGCAGTTTCGTGGTAGTCTGAAGCACAGTTTTAAGCCAAGGACTTATTCAGTGACCAGACTGTGCTTGTAGGTCCTGCTTTTCCATTGGAAATGAAGATGACATATAGTGGTGAGCTCATTGCACAGTGAGGTAAGGAATCACTTTGGGCAATCTAGTCCCTAGTGGGAATTTTCCTGTCCCTGCAGCTATAAGAAGTAATCCTTGCAGTACACACCAAGTGAAGAATGGAAAAGACAGTTTTCCTTCTGTTTGCTCAGAAAACAATCTTTTAATTTCACGTTCTTGTCTATACTTCCAGATGAAACAGAACATGCATATTAGAGGATTACATTTAGTATATGCTGGCTGTTAATATTAAGACCTTGTGAAAGTAAACCATAAATTTTCCTGGATTCCTATAACTGTATATGCATAGATCGTATCCTGTCAAATGCTTCAGTTTAAAATGAAGCCAGCTTTTTAAGATCCAAACCTATAGAGTCTAGTCAGAAGCAGATGGACAGACATGGAAAATTTATCATGTTAGATTATCTAAGCATAAATCTGATCCATTGTCAGATTTATCCCCTTGATCTTGTGTGGGTGGCTGTATCCATGACAGTAAGGAAAACACTATCTTGAATTTTTCCCTGACACTGCTATATTATAATTGCTGTGTGTTGTTGATTTTTTTTTTATTAACTTTATGCTTTTGGGGGATGATCAGCACATTCCATTCCCTGTTTCTCACTTTCTTTTTTTTTTTTTAGTTAGACTGAATATTATAAAAAATCTTAATCTGTTTTTACAGATTTTTTTCTTCATGAAAATTTGCTAAAATTTTAGTTCATTGCCCTCTCTGAGCTTTACTTATTAGTGATGCTAAATTAGATAAATAATTTTCTGTTTTTTTCCTTGTCAAAAGGTCACTTTATTTTCCAAACTGAAATATAATATAAGATGCTAACATATTGTCAGTGACTAAGTGTAACTAAAACATTGTACAGCGAAGAAAATGTATCTATCTGTATACTGCTGTGAATACATTTGTGCATATACATGGCACTTTTACATGCACACATTGTTAGACTCACACAGGACTTGAATTTCAGGCATATTAAATACCTCAGGTTATTTCATTGCTTGCTGAGTGTCAGAGAGTATCCCAAGAGATGCTCAAGTGTTAACTCAGCAAGTTCACACAGCAACCTGAAGTTATAGATGCAAAGCTACACCCCGTTTTTCACAGATGAAAAATTTGGGCCTATAAAGCTTTAGTAGAAGATTTGAGTGTGTGTGTGTGTGTGTGTGTGTGTGTGTGTGTGTGTGTGTGACACATGGTATTAGGAATAGAGTAGTAATGCCAGCAGAGGCCAGAA